TGCCTGACAAACATTCAAGTTTTATTTTTAATTGTTCTCCCCTTTAATTTATTTTGTGCTATTAGATGTGAGGGTCATATCCTTTGATTGGCTTGCTCTTGGCGAATCATTATTTCAGTCACAACATAAATTACAGATAATACATTATTAAGCGTCAACAAATAATCACTGGTAATTCAGCTGTTTCCTTGACTCTTAAAAGAACTTCTGATTAAGATTTGACACATCAACCAATCACTACCATATAACAAAGAGCGTTTCCGCATGTTTCAAACTGCAATCAGAAAGAATTTGTTTTATGTACAACATGTAATGAAACTCACAATTGCAATCGACAGTGGTCGGGACGGGGCATCCGGTACCCTGACTTCACTTTGGAAACCACTTTCTTGGCACTCAGGGTCGGGTAGGGGTGGCCACCTGTGAGGAAAATTGGAATTAAAAAAACAGCTTTTTAATCTAGTCAATCCCAAGTCAATCACAAATCACAAGTCAGATCATAATTCACAAGTCAATCACAAGTCAAATTACAATTTAGATCCCAAGTCAATCACAAGTCAAATCACATGTCAGATCACAAGTCAAATCATAATTCACAAGTCAATTACAAGTCAGTCACAAGTCAAATCACAAGTCAAATCCCAAGTCAATCACAAGTCAAATCACAAGTCAGATCACAAGTCAAATCACAAGTCAAATCATAATTCACAAGTCAATCACAAGTCAATCACAAGTCAAATTACAAGTCAGATCCCAAGTCAATCACAAGTCAAATCACAAGTCAGATCACAAGTCAAATCATAATTCACAAGTCAATCACAAGTCAAATCACACGTGCAGGTCAGATCATAAGTCAAATCACATGTCAAATCATAATTCTGAAGTCAATCAAAAGTCAATCAGAAGTCAAATCACAAGTCAAATCACAAGTCAAATCGTAAGTTGGTCGTGAGTAACCAAACATGATCTGTGACAAAGGCACTGTCAAAGTAGACCATGTTACATTTCTTTACAAGTTGGATGTTGCGGTCACGTGATTCCAACTTTCAGCGAACGGTTCTCTTCTGCTCTGCATGTATATCTCTTGAAATGTGATTGATGTAAAAGTGGTGACAAACTTGGGCAAAATAACATGCAAAAGATGCTGAAGTGTCTAGGTGGCCTGTCTTGCCCGTTGGTATGATGTCGCAGAACACATGCTCTACATGTACACTGCTGTATACATGTAGCTTGTGAGGTTGACTTGTGAGGTTGACTGGAAATTGGTTGACATGTGATTGACTTGTGACTGTTGACTGACTCGATTCCAACTCCACAAAAAAAAATACTTTAAGACTTGACCTATCAAAAAAATGAATAAGATTTCTATCATTTCATTTGAATACCTTCTTTGCAAGACAAGGTTTAAAGCTCACTTTTAGATCATCAAAACCTGCTGATACAAACGTGGATTGATAACATGCCTAGAATCATCTTCATATTAGCCTAACAATGGGAGTGCTTGTAAGGCCAACTGTGTCCTGTGCCATATTCGAATTGAAAGGTTCGGAACCAGCGCCTAGCTTCAAATGTGTGTACGACGTGCAATGGTCCATGACCTTTCCAGAGTTTTAAACATGGAGATCACTGGCCATACCGAGAGTAACTATTTCCCACAGCAGAACCCCATAAGACCACACGTCACTCTCTGTTGTGTACACGTTTTCAAGAACGGACTCCAACGCCATCCATCGCAGAGGGAAAAATCCCTGAACATCAACAGAAACAAAGACATAAAATTGCATTACAAACGTCCAGATAGAATGCACGTTGAAGAACATTTGACCAAAAGCACTAACACAAATCTCAATTACATGACGTATTATTACTTTGAAAATAAACCCTGATTATTATTTTGTGTTGAAATACATGTAGTGTCGTTGCTGCTATTGATTATGTGTTTTGTACTTGTAGTTGGAGAGCCTTTCGATAAACTTTTTTTTTTAGCTTCTTAGGTAATGCTGCAGGCCTGCATATGCTACAGTTATCATTGCTTTTTATGTTAGTTTATCCATTATCATTGCCTTTTTATTTTGTCCTTGCCCATTTCCTTTGTTTTTTTTTGTAATTTTAATGTATTAATTTGTATTTTCAAATGGTCATGTATTTTGATGTTGCCTGTAATATCAAATACACATCAACAATAAAAGTTTAAACAAAAGATTCTTTTCCACTGTGTAATAAAATATGCACGCTTCAATACTCAGCACAACCTTAATTTTAACACAAATTTGAATGTTTTTTAAATCAAAAGGAGAACACATACATGTACAATCAAAGTAAGAAATACACAAGAGTGAAAAATCAAGAATGTCAAATAATATGATGCACACGAAAACCACAACCCGGTGTTGTCCTGTTATCTTAAATCAAAACCAAATGGTTTAAAATATCAAATATATTGCCCATTCTCGAATAAGCAAATACCTTACCGTGCTTTTGCGTTGGTATGTTCTCATTTCGGCAACATCGCTGGCGAATCCAAAATCGGATATCTTGCTCACCATTTCCTCACTAACGAGAACGTTGCGGGCGGAAAGGTCTTTATGAAGACACTAATGTGATCCAAACAAAACAAAGTAAACCTGTTAAACATGTAGCTCACCCAAAAGCTTGCACAAAATTCTTTTGAATTGATTCAGAATGGCCATTTAACCGGAAGTCTCTTCAAACACGTGTCTACTCAATGGGTTGATTTATCCCATTCATTTGCGTTAAGGGGTCATCCTACATGATAGCACTGCCCGGCTCCGAGTGACTGTCAGTCTGTCAGGCAATCGGTCAGTCTGTCAGTCAATCAGCAGTCAGTCGGTCAGATAGAAATCAAGATCAATTCCTCATATAAACTCGTCTGTTGACCCGGTATAGGCATCAACTAGATTTCCATGTGATTCTTTAACCCTCCCTTTGCTTAAGAGGTCACCAATGGTCAAAATTGTCTTCCTCACCTCCTGGCCTACTGTGTACAAACCAATGGGGGTCTTGACCAATATTGACCCAAGTAATAAGCAGGCAGACAATGCATGTTACCATAGGAGGGTTAATACTATAAACTAGTCCCAACTATAGTACAGACTGTTCCAACTATACATGCTATAGTATAAACTGTCCCAACTATAGTTTGCACCATTGCTATAGTTGGGACGCAATAGACTCACCCCTTGTGAAGCCAAGTAAACCATGCCTTCGGCCACGCCCCTGGCCAGACTTAGGAGAGTCTTGGGTGTGAGGGATGCGCACACAGCCCCTCGCAGGTTGTCATACACGTGTTCGGATCGGCTATCAGTCAGAATCTCCTTCAGGTTCCCATTCACCACGTGTTCCATGATGACATAGATTGGGTCTGTGCATAGGATTGCCAAAGTATTAACAGTTGAACAAGTACTGTACACAACTGTTTCCCCAATTAAAGCTACGGGGAGCATATATTAACCTCTGTTCAATAAGCTACATGTAGTTCCATCTTTGCGTGCGCACATCGTTATATCACTAGGAGGTAAAAAATTTCACATATGCCTGAAAAGTCATACATATGTAACGGTGCCAACATAATTGAAAACAACTCCAAGACTGCAAAAGATGTTTCAAAACTTACGGCCTCGCGTACAGTCATGTGTGGACTATCCTGTTTTCGTAATATGTGAATGAAAAAGTATAATTGCATATTGGAGATTTGATTACATGTACCACACTGCCAGAGACTTGGGTTCATTCACAATATACTGTGTTTATCTTCAAAATAAAAATTGTTGAATCAATATACATGTAAGTGGGCAAGGACAGCTATGATTTTAAGACATTTCCTTAAAAAAGATTCTACCCATTTGTTGACAATGCCATAACTAAATCATGTACATGTAGTTACTATTTTAAGGGTAACAGTTCAAAATCAACTTTTCGACAAATGAGCCGAATTCTCACGCCCGTATGGTTACCTTCATTGATGCAGTATCCAAGAAGCTTGACGATATTCGCGTGACCACTGAGAGGTTTCATCGAATTCAACTCTCGAATCAGGTTCTCTTTCTCCTTTGGATCGCTTTCATCTACATAACATAATACATGTACATGTATGTAAAATTTAAGCGCTGACATGTATCATAATACAGTTATCCATATCAATAAAGTTCAGAGCGACTTCTTTTCTCAATACTTCTAGGATGAGGAAATGTATTGTACGAAAAGTACACGTACACGGACATGTACATGTACATGTAGATGGCACTTTGTGACTCACGAGACGTCCACTATGCAGGACTTGGGTTACCGAGCACGAATAAGAGTACATGTACTTGTACATGTACACTGTTCTTCGAAGTACAAGTGCAGGTCTCCGAGAACGAGTACCTGTACAGTTTTAGAGTACAAGTACTTATATTCCGAGTACTGGTACAAGTACGAGTACGGGTTCGAGTTATTCGTTTTCCAAATACAGCCATATGGCAAATGGTTCATTATGCGTAATTGGCCCAGGCCCAGTCAGACCGATACAGACCCATTTACAGTTAGCTGTTAAATGTGTTTTTCCGGATGTGCAAAGAGAAAAATCAGGAAACTTTGATTTCTCTTCAAGCAAATCAACTATTTACAACTGAAAGTATCGATAATAAAATAAGGTTGTGGTAAGTTATAAGCTATATCATTTTTTTTTCAAGTACTGCCATTCGAGTAGTTTGAGTACTGCTATTTGAATGCGAGTTCTTTGATGATCAAGTACAATTTCGACATGTCAAGTACGAGTACTTTACTGCCCGAGGACAAGTTCCGTAGCTTCGAGTTTGAGTACTTTGACATTCGAGTACGAGTACGAGTACTCTAAAAAAAGTACTAGTCGAGAAGTACTCGAGTACAAGTACGAGTACCCGGAACTACATGTACATCACTGGGGGCTATATGCATACAGCTCGATGCTGGCATTTTGGAGCAAACACACTAATCAATTACAGTAACCATCTCTGCCCTCACACGTACCCATCGACTCCTGGGTGGCCATGGGGAGATGAAATGAGTGACAAAGCGCCTTGCTCAAGGGCATACGCACCATAACCCCAGGCTGGACTCGAACCCACAACCTGCAGATCATACTCGCAGGCCACGATACCACGGTACTGCATTATACGGTACTGAGTATTGGCATGCCTCTCACCTCTTACAGTTTTGACAGCCACGCGGGTGACAAGGCCTCGCTGCTCGATGCCCACGGCTCTTGCAAGTAGCACCTTCCCGAAGGTGCCCTGCGTGAGTTCTTGAAGGAAGGTCAACTGATCTCGCGAGATTGCTGCGCGGCAGTCCGGGACGTTAGCATACGTAGACTCAACCGGATCACTTTCGACTGCGTGAATGGTTTGCATAGGGATCCCTGCAAATAAGCATTTCATATGAATAGCCTTTTTCGGAAGCACTCCTTGATATACATGTACATGTATATCCAAATAAATAAGTCAGATTGGGGCTGAAATCTCTTTCATGTGACATGCAATGTACATGTAATGCGAGAACATCACAAGTTTTATCGTGTGTGTCACTAATTCATCAAGGGTCCTCTCCATGTCAATTTCATTTTGGGCCTCTCTGTTCCATTTTGTAGAGATCTACTTCACTTGTAACAGCTAAACATTCATAAGATGGAATTTTGCGTCGGGGTGATGTAAATCAAAATAGGTTGTGCCCCTCACTGACATACAAACACTGTATACTCAGTGTGTTACCTCCCGAGTGAAAGTTGGAAAACATCACTATGAGGGGCAAAACCTAATTTGATTTACATCACCCCGATGCAAAATTCCATCTTATGAATACTTGATGCGGTACATGCTGTGTACATCAGATTCGAACCAGCCAACCGATCCCGTTAGCTCGGTGGTCGAGTGGTAAGACGTCTGAACTGGAAGGTGGGAGGTAGTGAGTTCGAGTCCCACCAGAGTGATGTTTTCCAACTTTCACTTGGGAGGTAACTCACTGAGTATACAGTGTTTGTACGTCGGTGAGGGGCAAAGCCTAATTTGATTAACAGCTATAAAACACACGCTGCAAGCATTTAACCCTGCACTTTTGTTTGCCCAGAAACAGCACATGCATCTTGAAACATCTGAGAAAATGGAAAGGGCATGCCCTCATAAATATTCTCAAAGGCATCCTTCATACTAAAAAGTACCATAACTTTGAAGACTAATTTAAAATTGAAACATAGCAAAAGCTTTTGTAGCAACTGCTACTTCATTGGATGCAGTGACTGATGTATCTAGCAGATTAACACGGTGTATACATGTACAACTTTCCTAACAAGTACCTACGCTGATGCTCGTTACGCTTTTAATGAAAGGTCATCTATATGTAGGAGGACACTTTAGCAGTTCAGATAAGTTTACCAAATTCAAACCTTGTCTACCTTAAAGTTTGTGACACCAATTGGCATATTGCTTGTTTTTCACAATGTATTTCTCAGATTACTCACCGACGTTTTCGTAGCATTCTGTATCTGCAATGGCCCGGACTGGCCCTCGTGCCTGAGCTCCACTGCAGGTTACAAGCAATTAAGACGGGGGTTTGAAATGTTCAAGGAATTGGGGGGTGGGGCTGGGATTCAAGGCTTGCCCTACATATTCTTGACTAAAATCGTCTAAAGATGGCTACTGGCCCTTTAAAACATGGATTGTCTAGCAGCTTAGTACACTAGGAATAATCTTGAAAGTTCAACCCTACATGTACATTCATAACATAGTGTTATTTGGACAACACTTGTTTTGAAGCCAGTGTGGATGCTGTACAATGTTTAATTTTAGAGCTACATGTAACTCTCAAGAATACAAGGTTATTTTGATGTTATATCATAGGTTAGTAAATCTAAAAAGAAAACGACATTTTTACAGTCATTGTTTTGTATTGAGGTCACATTGCTAAATTGCTTCAATAAAAGTGATAATTGTACTGTTTGAATCAAGAAGAAATGGTTTGGTACAATCAGGCAACTTCCATTGTGCGTTCTTGTCTTTAAACTATATCTAGGCACACGCTTGATTAAATGTATGTTTTTTTAACACAAATTTCAACAAATTGGTTAAACAATGTTTTCTTTCTAACCAATCACAAATGTACTGACCTTTGGGAAACATTTTGTTGTTCTGTTGAGAAAGTAGAAACGTTGAATAAGTTTCAAAAAACGACATGATATATTACGATAGGCAGATTCGATGTTATGTATGTAGCAGTTCTTACCTAATTTTATTATGAATTTTCAACTCAGGTTTGATTTAGTAAAGAAAAATATTTGAAACTCTACTTTTCAACATAATTTCAATTGGATTCGTTTCGATTATCACAAATGATAAAATTTCACAGGATAATAAAACATGAGACATGTCTGGGGACTTTGGTGTTAGATTTTAAGAGAAAAGTAACGGTCTGGAAAATGTCCAGTATCTCTCATCAGAAAAAAGAAAATATACAGTTAGTGTGTATGCCACACAACTACTCATGTTTTGTGCTCAAGGCATTAAAAATGACTATGAAATCTTTATATATTGTTTCGAAAATGTGCATAGTTAAGGTCTTACCCTTCTTGTGCCGTGGCTTCTTTTTTTTACGGTAAAAGCAGCCAGCTGCCTGTATCACAACGCTGATGAGCAAAAGTATTCCCAGTACACTGATGGCAGTTACAAATGGCCAGCTTGTCAGTTTGCCGACGACTGAGGGGGCAACGGTTGCTAATACAAAAAATCAATGTATCAAGAGTATCGTTTAAATGTCATTCGTATACATGTACTGTCAGTGTATCTTTGACACTTTATGTTTTTAGCCAGACTGGATATGAAGAGGATCATTTGGTTGAAAAAAAAAAAAAAATCATTATATCCAAGCATGTAAATGCTCCCCCCCCCCAAAAAAAATAAAACAAATAAATAAAACATATGGACCAGTCACCCGTAGAAGTTAACCAAACATTTTACAATGTTCACTTTTTTTTTACATTTGCAATTTGTTATGCATAGCAGGCATCTCGGGGCTTATGGTTTTGTTTTGCTGTGGTATGCATGAATTAACCATTTGGTATTTTTTTTATCTCGCTTCAGGTCAGCGTTCTGCTATTGTCAACTTTGGAGAATGGTGATGGTGGACATTCAAGTTTGCAAGAGTTACAATGTAGGTGAGTTTGGATAACATTATATGATATATAACTTAAATGGAAATGAGATTATAAAGACCTTTCTTAGTGATATGTATCACTGTGCCAAATCTATATTGGGGAGACCAGCAGAGCTTTTGGGACCAGATTTAAGGAGCACACAAGATCAACACCCCCCCCCCCCTTCTCATAGCTGTGGGTGAACATTTAGTTCACCAGAAACACAACAGCACCTTGGACAATGTACAATTCCTATCACGAGAGGTTCGCTTCTGGGAGCAATTGCCATAGAGATCAACCCAGAACCCAACACTCAATAGGGATGCGGGTCATCTGTGACGATCTGCTGTCACGTGAGCGGAGGGATTTAGCCACAACACTGAAAAAAGAGGTTGTGACGGCCTCGCAAGCTACATCCTGCTTAATAAAGAGACTCTGAAAGGTAACTTAGTTCTAAAACACAGTCTTGTTACACTATACTTATGAGGATCTCCTTCATTTGTTACTATTGTTTGGATTTTATCTCAACATATCTCATAAGGTTTGTACATACAGGAAAACCTCCCGAAGACTTGGCTCAGGTCGTCGGGATTATTACTATCATAAACTCCCTTTGTCCCTATTGCCAAAGTATGAAGCATTATAGGGCAGTCTTGTTGGCTTGTACTTACACTGAACGTCTATGGGACCAAAGCATGCCATTTCGGTTGGGCGGGTCCAAGAAGTTTTTTGTGCAGAGCAGGTTATGTTGTTTCCATTGTCTTCTCTCCTCGGTGTGAAAGCCAGGGTACTCGTGAACATGAATCCACTGCCACATGATGCAGATACGGTTGTGGTACCTGTCAAAGGTGTGTCACCGTTGGACCAAGCCAGATTCCAGTTGTCTGGATATCCCGTGTATGCACGGCACACCAAAACGCTTGGTTTATTGGCTGTCATGGTAGGGGAACCAGTAATGGCCAGAATGTCCGGTGGCCCTGTACAAAAAATGTAAATAAATGTAATTGCATACAGCCATTGACAGTTTTGTCCTCTGCAAATGTGTTTTTTGAGCCATGTAAGTTTGTTTCCATAGATGGTCCTCTTCCTAGGTTTGATACTAAATATTTTAGGTGCCTCAACTGTCATCTCTTACTCCTGTGGTGAGCCTCGTCCTAAACTATTCTAGTTTTTGAAATAAAAAAGAAAGGCTGGAGTCATTGGTAGGGCAACTAAAAGTTGCTATAGGAACATGTTCAAAACCTTCCAAACATAATTCATCCTCTTTTAAGATTTGTCTTTTGGACATACAGGGGGAGTTTCATGACTCATAGTTACGGTTACCTTTACGATTGAAAGTGTTGATTCATTATCAACAAGTTTTTAAATAGATTGCAGTTAAAATGCATACCATTGACGAGAACTGTGAGGACCTTTGATGGAAACGGTTCCTCTGACTCCGTGTTGTTTACCACGCACTTCACCTCTTGGCCATGATTGGCTCTTGTGGGCGTGAATGACCACGTGTCTGAAACGTCAACCAGCCAATCGTCTTCCTCAGACAAAGACGGGCTTGAAATTCGCTGCGAAGCCCCATCCAAGAACCACTCAAAACTTGCTGCTGGCCTGATGTCCACTACCTCGCACTTGAAATATTGTAACATACCCTCGTCCATACCAGGTGAAGCATCGCTCCCAGTCCAGTTTGCAACATACAACAGCATATTAGATGCCTTTGGTTTAACTAAATGTAAATGAAAATAGCAAGTCAAAATTTTGCATTTAAAATGCCAGAGTTGTTTGTTCCTTTCAGCCTATAAGATAAATGTAAAATGTCGTAAACTAAACTTTTTTAAGGTGTGGTCAGGATCATTTTGGTATTTTTGTTATGGGATTACGGATGAACTGTGCTTTCCCACCTTGAATTCTCAATTTCTCGTGCAATTTCCCAACAATTGGCAAATAAGGGACAACTATACATTTCAAAACATCTTTTTAACCATCTTTGCACTTTTGTGTGATTTGTGTTTTGAAAGTGTGTCAAGTTACACAAATGACTAATCTTGCGATACTCTCAAGCATGCGCGTATTGACGTTCACAGTCCAGCAGCGTGCGGACATTCAAATTTCATTGTGATTTTCGAGTCAAAAGGAAAAGAATCACGAAAATGAAAAAAAAAAAAATTTACTGGAAGCTTGTTACCTTTCACATCAAGAGTAATGAATATGTTCACAACGGGATGTATCCCTGCAACAAACGCCATGCACTGCAGTAGCTCCCCGTGGTTGCTCTCAGAAATGGTTATTGCAACAGTACTGGTGCTAGTGGTGAAACCGTCGCTTTCTGTGAGATTGTTGTTTTTGTCTGGTGAAATCTCAAGTCCCCCTAGCATCCACGAGAGCGAGACGGGTGTTCTTAAGTCGGGTACCATGCACGTGAATCGATGATGCTCTCCCTCCGATACATACACTATATCTCCAATAGAAAGGTCGTATCCAAACCATTCGAATAACGCGATATATGTAGTCACTTAAAAGGAAAGAAAATAAAGACAATAGAAAAAAGACAAAAGATGTTGGCCAAATTTTACATCTCGTCGGGGCGTACGACTTTCACAATGGCATTTTGTTTTGTCGCACCTCACAGAAATAAATAGAAGTCTGTTGTGTTAAAATCTCGAATCATGTTGTTACTAAGTTACTTTTTCTTATCGTTTTATTTATTCATGGCAGTCCATCAATTATCAACGATGGAATTTATAAAAACGGTTCCTCCCATAGAACGAAACATTCGTTTCAGGGTTTCTGAACCACGTTCTTGCAACCCGTCCTTCATTTTACGAGGAGTTTATGATGTTGTCACTACAAGTTTAATTTGCTTCTAATTTATGTGGCGACCAAAATATAAACTTTCAAAAGTCGTACCACTAAAATGACTATGTTATTATACGCTCCAATAAAAGTGAAAAGTTAATGTTAATGACAGTTATTGAAGCACTTGTCATTTTGATAAATTTTACAAGATGTCAGAAGTGCAAAGAATAATTTAGTCATCCTGATGAGATGATACTGCCTGTTAAGTCTGACAAGCTGTCTTTGGCTGTGGGGTGTTTTTCAATAGAAATCTTTTGAACAAAAATGACCAGGTTGACTTCGCTTGTATTCATGAAAGTTTCCTGGATAATTCAATGAGAAAATTAAAAGGCTACCTTGAGATCCAACGTCATCGATGGCGATATCTGACAAGCGACCGTTGACACGAATCGCTTCAAACGCTATGAAAAAGTTTGAAGATAAATTCGTGACACAAATCTCAGCCTCCAGCCAGGTTGTTCGGTTCGTTTGCTCACCGCTTCTTGAAAAGAGAACTTCAGCTCCGGTGACTGATCCACCAATAGGCACGCGAGACACATTTAGAGTACCTAAATGGTATAATTCATTTAAAAGCCTTTAAAATGCATAGGCCGATACTCTTATATCAAAATAACCATTTTCAAACCTCAAAATTAGGCGTACATAAGGGAATGTAAAGATATACAACGGCATATGTAATATTTGAAATGCTGCTCTGTGCTCAACTAACTTAAAATGTTTATTTTATTTGTTTTTGAATAGTTTCTTTTAAATAATGCTTTTAATACAATACAAATACTGATTATAACAAGAATTTATTTTGTTTTTAAAACGTCAGCTTGAATGAGCCACAGAATCAATTTCACGTGAAGAGGAATCTTGAAATGTAGAAGTACTTTTGTGTAAATTAGAAAAAAATGAAAACAGTTTTAATTTTTTTCTAATTTACGCGCTTTTTCATGACAACCGTTGTTGTTGCGATGATATCACTCGCTGTCAAGTGGGCTTGTGCCTTAAATGACATTACTGTTTGTTTATGTCTGCATTAAATTACGTACCCATATTGCTTCCGTACATGTTGTACCAGAAACTGAAACACCACGCGTGGTTACCGATCTGTTCTTTGCTTGGAACAACCGCAGGGCTGATAAGCACAGCGTTGGTACCGTCAGACCAGGAGTATGGATGAAAGCTGGCATAACGGCCTCTGTAATCTGGCCAATATTAGTTGTGATAATAAATCGATAAAATATCATCAGATGAGGAAGCTTTGGTAATAAAAAGTTAAGAATAGATTTCAACGTTTATCAGGGATATTCAGAAACATCCACATACCTCCTACAGTCTTGTCATAATCGGGACCAGTAGAAGAAGGATATGTCGCTCCTGCCTGGAGTGTCCAGTCTCTACGGTCTTGTTTTGACTGCTTCCAACCACACCACCCTTCTTCAAAGGTACAGTTGAAACCTACTGTTGCTAAAATATAGAGCACATAATTGTCCAAATCAACATATATGCGACCCTCTGATTGTAATGAGTTTGTAATACCCAATGATTTGTATATTCCAATTATGGGAATATACTTACACTTGGCAACCAGTCTGACTACAAGAGATGCCTGAGCGTCGAATGGCTCCTCAATACTTGCCACATATCGCACCTCCACTCCATTGCTCTCAGGGGTAGGAGTGAATGCCCAACTGTCTCTTGTGGTGACCAACTCATCGCTTCCTCTAAAAGTAGGCCTATATGTATCTCTCCTGGTGTCACCAAGGTACCACTGAATTCTGGCTTCAGGCCACGTATCCTTTGTTTCACAAGTAAAGGTGTATGATATAGTTGTTGCAACGTTTACTGTGCTACCAGGTCGAAGTCTGTTTCCACTGGGACCGGTCAGTGACATTAATGATGACTTTGGTTTCACTATTAAAGAGAAGCATACATCGCATTCATTTTGAGGCTAAGAGGTACACGTACATGTACATAGATAAATCGGCATTTCGCAATCACCGTATTTCCGCAAAACCGCCCTGCCTATTTCTCATAAACACCACTCACCAGTAAGACAATGTAGTGTAGGTCCTAAATATGTATTTAAAATTGCATCTCACCTTTTACAGCGATTGGTACAGTCATATTGTCCATCAGCTCACCATCTTTGTTAAAGGTTTCGCAATGTAGTGTCTTTCCATGGATCTCTCCGTTAGGTGACACAACGATACTACTGCTAACGCTTAATCCGTCGGTGGTGTCGACGCTTCTGTTACTGACTTGTTTGACTCGCCGGCCAGCCAAGGTCCAGACAAGTTCTACTTCCTGCTTTATGTCAGGTACCATGCATGTAAATACAGTATCTTCTCCTTCCACAAGGACTGCTTTTCCAGCATCAGAAGGAAAGTCTTCAGTTGAATCGAAAAGGAACATTCGAGGGATAACTGAGGAGAAGGAAATACTCCAGTGAATGTACGCAATTGAAGTAATCAATATTGAAGTTATCAATATTTACCTCTGAACTATGTTGTTTTCTTTCGAAATAATCCAAGAATCACAAACGTTAAATTAAAGTACATGTCGGTAAACAAGAACGATTATAATCCGTTCAAGTATGACTAATTTACCCATCCGGAGTAGTGGTAAAAAAATCCTACCAGTATTAATGTCATCGATTGCAATGTCCGATAAATCGCCGCCACGAACTGCCTCAAGAGCAATCTGAAATTCTGAAGAAGCATTTCTCGCACAACTCCTGGCTTTTAACCAAACCCTTGCATTCGTATATTGTCCTTCTCTCGTAAAGATGATTTCACCGTCACTGATTGTCTGATTAATTGGAACATGGTACACATTGAGAGTCCCTGTGAAAACAAAAGAAATAATACGATGACAACATTTATCATTCATTTCCGACAGAGCTCACGAAGAGACTCCTGCCCCCCCCCCCCCCCATATTCCCGAAAATCTGCTCTAATAACCGAACAAGCTCTCTTTACTTGTAATTTATATCACCATTCAACCCCTCAGACGTGCAGTTAAATACCGGTTCCTTACAGTCTGCTTTGAAATTATTTGTAAATGCCTGATCTTAGCCACTTCACCTTGCATAAAATTTCCTGGTTTCCTATAAGCCGTTCCAAATGATCTCTTCGTGCACAATATCGTGAGCTTGTCAATGCACCTCGTAGCCTAGGGGCGTCTCATAACAATAGTTAAATCACTTGTTAACCTCCATTGTGACTTCTCTCAGGTCCCAAACACTTCGCCTAGGTTTTTCTGAGGTTCAAGTGAAGCCCATCTTGGGGGGGGGGGGGGGGACCATTAGCCGCATTACCCAGTGGCTAGCGTAACGTGATGTAGCGATCTCGGTTCAATCAATAATTTTGTTCGGTTACATGTACAAAGTAGGCGCTGCATTTACGTGTTCGTCATTGGGTAAAGTTGGTCCTTGTTCGGTGACTTGCAGCACGCGTGCGCAGGTGTACGTGTTCTACATAACCCCCAAGGACAGACACACAAAGGGAGAAGAAAGGATCCTTTCAGCTTGGGCGTTGGGTCTTTTATTCAAAACGGTCCTCTGTAGTGAGTTCGTGTGCTTTGTCTATGGCAGAGTGTTATATTAAAGGGACAAAGGGAAACACAAAGCATTGTCCTCGGGAGTATAGTACTTCAAGAGTTTATGTATGAGCTGGCCCGTACGAGCCTGACGGTAAGGACAGTAATCTGTGTAGGACTGAGCTAAAGTCACCTGTGTCTACATTGTAAGTCCTGATTAGTGCTCATGTTACTGAGCTGGAGCTCGGCAGGTTGAGGGACTATTTGGTGGTGCGGTATAAACGTTCCTTGTAGGAGCTTACGGTCGCTTATAAGGGTGGACACCACACTAGTTGATTATACATGTTATACAGATTTACATCTTATGCAGACTTGCGCGCTTACGTCCCTTAACCTTACATCAAAACAGTGCATTTAAACCTTACGCTCTATATGTTCTCTGTTTTCATAACTATTTGATACATTTGGAATGTTGGAAAGTTGACTTAAAACCTCAAAATAGACAGTAGTAATTTTTTTAGCTGACGAATATGAACATGCCCCGAAACACCGTTAAAGGTGCAAAACGTGGATCGAACAGATACAATGGTAAATTCCAGAATTAAAATGATTAAATCATCGATTCAGGGACCACTAATCATAAAGTAGCTGTTTAAAACATATTGTTAGAATGGTTAAAATCCTTACCCATTTCCTCTCCGAACATGTTGTACCAGAAACTGAAGCACCACTTGTTGTACGGCTGTTCTCTACTTGGCGAAATGACAGGGCTGATAAGTATAGCGTTAGTGCCTGCATAACTAACGGACGTTTCATAATAGATGTATTGGCCACTTGCAGCTGGACAAAGTGATTTAAAAAAAAAAAAAAAAAAAACTTTCAATGAAATTTCGCATTCATGATGTAATTATGTCGGCAGATTTTCAACATAATTTAGCTTTGGTGTGAGTTGGCTTCTTATTTTTAATGCAGATTCATTTGGTTACAAAATGTAAGTCAAGGCCAATATGCGACGGAACATAATACTCAAATGTCAATACTCTGTTATACATGTAGTTTAGTCGTTGATGAACCGTGATAAAAACACTTTATTAGAAAGCTAATTTAAAGACCAGAACTGCATGTACATGTATTTTAAATAATTTACTAACCTAGTGTCCTGTCGAAATCTGGTCCGGTGTTAGAGGTAGGAGTTGGCCCCTGCTGCAGCAGCCAGTTGGAACTGTCTTCATTGGATTGTCTCCAGCCACAAAACCCTCTCTTAAAGGTGCAGTTGAAGTCTGCGCTTGCTGTGAAAAATATAAACAACACACACCCAACTGACAATTTTTTCAAGTTAAAAGTAGTTAGAATGTGAACTAATTCAACAGGTTTCCACTGGAATTCACTGGCATCAGTCTGTCACAAGTGACTCTGTATATTTCTTTAGTTATTCATTTATTCATTCATTGAACTGGTTTAATTGGTTAAGTGGTTTTGAGTGTTTGTATATGTCTGTGTGTGGATTCAGTAATAGATTGGAAGTTCCAGTGATGAATATTCAGTATTGTTGAGTAAGTCATTCATGGTATGTGGGTGCGCCAAGGAAATTGCTTTTGTTACCCGGCCGTGTGTGCCATAGTTAGCAGTTTGAGTATGAACATTTGCCAAATGCCTTCCAATTGAAATTGATTGCATGAGAGTGGCTTGGGTTTTTCCTACATGTATGCTAAGCTGCAGGCACTTGCTCGCCAAATATATGAGAGAGGACCTATTTTGCCGTGAAGTCATAAAAATATCATACAGCTAGTCGTGGACCCCTACCTCTACCGGACTCCTTGGAATCTGAGTGAATCTGCAGAGTCATTTGGCAGGTTAACAAGGACCTGGCGGCAGTTTAATACTTTTAGAATTGTGTTAAATATATAGGGTTAATAACACAAATTTGATTTGGATTTCAAATGTGAGGTTGAAAATAAATTATAGAATCAACAAGATTGAAAGAAGACTTAATAGGCTAATTATTCAATGTTCCCGAAGACAATAGTATTTGATGCGGTATTGACAATTTAAATGACTTAAGATAAATACAGAAAGAAAAGTTTGAACCAAATTGAAGAAATGTGTGAACAAAGAATTGAAGAAGTTGTTCGAATCAAAAATAAAGAAGCGTTTGAACTAAAATGGAAGAAACGTTTGGTCCAAAATTGGAGACGGGTTTTAGGCAAAATTGATTGAAGTGTTTGAACCAAGATTGAAGAAATGTTAGTAAATAATAAAGTTTGGAACGACTCGACCTCCCAAGTAGGAATGTTGGACGGGGATTCCTACAGTTAGAAGGAATGCAAAGCCGAGCTGTAATAGCCTTGGGAAGTTATGTCGAAGAGAGTAATGGTCATCTTCTCCGTGTCCAGCAGGCCCATCCACTCCATAACCAAACAGGCGAGTGCAATCTGCCAGAAAGCTGACATTGGTGCCCTTTGTCCTTCATCAAAACTGGAGTACCGTCAGTACCATACATATCAGAAAAGATG